TTGGAGCAACAAAGTTCTTAAAAGCTTGATCCTCTGAGGAATTCTTTCCAAGAAATTAGAAATACATTTTAGTTATGTGGAACACTTGAAAATGCCTATGTTCCACTCAAAGGAAGACTCAATATATTTAAAAAAAAAAAAAACAAACTACTTACTATATTTTCTCACCAAATGCAGTTAGAAAGATTTTTATCAGTATAAACATTTAAAAAGTTTGGAATTTAAGAATACATTACTGTTGGCATATAAAGACAAAATCAGTAGAGAATGAAAAACATTTAGAACACAGTGAAGATAAGTGTAAAATGTGTAGCTTGAACAGTATCTTCAGCATAAACTTATAATTTTAAAAGCATTTATTAAAAGATAGAAGAGTTTGTGCTGGTGGGAATGCAAACTAGTACAACCACTGTGGAAAACTGTTTGGAGGTTCCTCAAACTGCTAAACATGGAGCTTCCCTACGACCCAGCAATCCCACTCCTCGGTATATACCCAGAAGACACAAAAACACTGATTCAGAAAGATACCTGCACCCCCATGTTTATTGCTGTTTTATTCACAATTGGAAAGACATGGAAACAGCCCAATTGCTCAAAAATGGATGATTGGATTAAAAAGATGTGGTACACATACACAATGGAATATTATTCAGCAGCCGAAAAAAGAAACACATGTCTTTTGCAGCAACATGGATGGAGCTGGAAAAGATCAAGCTTAGTGAAATAAGCCAAAACGAAAAGGAAAAATACCGTTGGTTTCTCTCATAGCAGGGGTATAATGGAACAGGCAAGAAAATGATAATAATGAACAGCCATATACCAGAGACATTTTGTGGGGGTGGGGAATGGGATCAAAAACAATGGGGGGAGGGAAATGCACTGGACTGTGGAGATGGCACAAGGGTGATTTGGTGATAGGAAACCCAAGGGGACTGCAACTGAGATGGAAAAATGCACAAAATGATGTAAAAATAAACTATTATAAAATTTTTTAAAAAGGCAAAAAAAAAAGCTTGGAAACGAAATGACCTCTATTTCCAGAAGTTTGAAAAAGCAAATCCAAATAAAAGGAAAAAAATAGAATTTAGTGAAAAGAAAAGCTGTCATCTGTAAAATTAAAAAGTATATTTTTGGGTAAAACTAGTAGAAAATAACAAGATACAGTTACTGCTGGAGAAGAGATGCAAAAACATGTATGTCTGCCAAAAATTTTGGAATTTTAGGTAAAATTAGTTTCTCAGGAAAATTACCAAAAGTACCTCACAGAAACTCTGACTAAATCAGTAATCATAAAATTTACTAACTTGATAGAACTTTTGCTTACAGGGCCTCTGTGGTCGCGTATAGGTTAAGTCTTAGCACTGCCACCATGATGGCTTCAGTTTGATCCCCAGCCAGGGAGGTGACCCAAATGGTGCAGTAGACCTCTACTCGTTTGCCCACTGCTTCGCTTAGCAGAGTATTTCAGTAGATATGTCTGTTTTGTTCCCCACTCTGTCTCTGGTGAATCCTTTTATCCAGGCACCTCTGGCCTGCACCCCATTTCTTCTACACAAAATAAAACATTAAAAAAAATGTCTTGGGGTTAAAAGAATTCTTATTTACAAAAGGTTTACACAGGTTTATGCTTTATAGGCATATTTTGTTGAATCTTGAAGTACCATTTGTTACTTTTATACATTCAGACACTAGACAAAAAAAGGGTGATATAACTGGATACCCAAACAAGAAGTATTAATGTTAGCCTGCTAATACATGGATCTCATTTATGATCATAAAGTTTAAAAATCTTAGTTTTGGTTCTGTAGAGTATTAAAAGATAGTATGTACCATGAAAATCCATGCTGGGGATGCAAGGAGAGTTTAACATTAGAACATCTATTGATGTCACTCACTATATCAACAAATTAAATGAAAAAATTCAGAAAGGACCCTTCAATACCTGTTAGTAACATGAGTTCTTACTAGTTCCTAGCAAACTAGTAACTGAAGAGGACCTGCCTTTGCCTATGAATATTTTCCTATTAGAAACCAGTACCTTATTACTATAATAGTGAGATAAAACAAGGATTATCATATTTTTGTACTAGAGGTACCTCTACCCAAAGCAATAAAAGAAAAAAAAAAGGGGGTTTGTAAATATTAAAGGGTAGTTTTGTCTATTAAGAAGAGTCAGTATGGGCCCTCCCTGGTGGCGCAGCGGGTTAAAGCACTGCACTGAGAATCTAAAGCCGCTTCCGCATGAGTTCGATTCCCACCTGCCCCGGAGGTGACCACATGGCATGGCAGACCTCTCCTGGCCCGCCCGCTGCTCCCCTCAGCAGTGTACTTCGTCGATCTGCCTGTTCTGTTCCCCACTCTGTCTCTGGTGAAGCCTCTCACAGCCCCTGAGCCTCTGGCCTGTACCCCAGTTCTGTATGTACAAATAAATAAATCTTTAAAAAAAAAAAAAGTCAGTATGATTGCCAATATAGAACCAAGAGAGTATACAATAAAGAGAAAATTTTTTAGCAAGAACCAAAAAGAAAATTGAACATTGTTGCAATGAAGATTAATATAGAAGAATCACTAATGTTTGTCTCTGTACTCCTGATTGAAGAAAAAGAAATTCTGAAGCAAGCAAATAAAGAAACCAGAATGATTAGTCACTTCTAAAGGAAAGTCAAAGAAAGGATGTGTAAAACCTTTAGAGGAAATTTATAAAGCAGTATTGAAGGACATATTGAAGGATATGATAGGTTCATGGGTGGAATGAGTCAGTGTTAATGAAAAACTCACCTTAATCTATATATGCAAAACCATTCTAATTTACAAATCTCATTCCTCTCTCCCTTGGACCTTTCAAACTATCTACAAATGTACAAGAAAGAATAGGATCAAGAAGAGGGTAATCCACTACATTTTTTAAAATGGAAAATAGTAACTGTTGATAAGGGTATGGGAAAACAGATACACTCCTATATTGTTGGCACATAGTATTTATAGGTTCTGTATCTGTAGATTTAGTTAGTGGTGGATGAAAACTACATAATTATGTCTATGTTGGTTGTGTTTATACTAAGTACATATAAATTTTTCCTGGTCATTATTCCCAAACAATCCAGTATAACAACTATTTACATAGCAATTTCATTGTATTAGGTATTAAAAGTCATCTATAGATGATTTTAAGTATATGGGAATATGTGCATATTTTATGTGCAAAGACTACACTTTTATGTATAAGGGCCTTGAGCTTGTGTGGACATTGGTATTTGTAGGGATCCTGGAACCAGTGTCCTATGGATACCGAAAAATGGCTGAATAGTGTTGGTAGGTCCATTTTTTTTTTTAAAGATTTATTTATTTATTCATACAGAACTGGGGCATAGGCCAGAGATGCGAAGGGTGAGAGGATTCACCAGGGACAGAGTGGGGAGCAGAACAGGCAGATCCTCGAAGTATACTGCTGAGGGGAGCAGTGGGCGGGCCAGGAGAGGTCTGCAGCACCATGTGGATCTCCTCCGGGGCAGGAGGGGATTAAACTCATGAGGAAGTAGCTTAAGCTTCTTACTGCAGTGCTTTAACCCCCTGCGCCACCAGGGAGGGCCAGTAGGTCCATTTTTATGGAAGTCAGTTTCCATATGTTCTAACTAGGCTTAAATCATGTAGAAAGCACATCAAATAAATCTTAATATTTAAGAGATAATAAAGGAGTGCTGAGAAATTAATCCTAACAAAATTATCTGGATCTCATAACTGCCATATACTCTTTTATTAACATTCCTTTCATATTTATGGTGTGAAAGGAACTTACAAACATTTTCATCAAATTGTTTCATCATTAAAACAGCCTTGTGAGATGGTTATTTTTAATCTCTATTTTATAGATAGGGAAACTGAGACCCAAATAAGTAAGTAGACCAAGTGCATTTAAGTAGTATGTGAAATAGCCTAAATTTAGCTTTTAAACTGTGATCATAATTACTATATGGTTATATAGTTAACTGGATTATGATACCCACATACCTTAAATCTAACCTTTATTAAAATGATTACATTTTCAAGTTCATTTAAAGTTTAATGCTTAATTTCTTTCATTAGAATGTTAACATGTAGATTTAATGTTCTATTTATTTCTTCATTGGATTTTCAGCTAGTTAATAATAAAAGCAAAGCCCTTGTTAATGGAAAATTGTTTTGCTTACTCCCCAGAGGATCTAAAGAGGCAAAATGCAGTGTTGCAAGCCGCACAAGATGATTTAGGACACCTTCGGACTCAGCTCTGGGAAGCCCAAGCAGAGATGGAGAATATTAAGGCCATTGCCACAGTGTCTGAGAATACCAAGCAAGAAGCTATAGATGAAGTGAAAAGACAGTGGAGAGAAGAAGTTGCTTCACTTCAGGCTGTGATGAAAGGTAAGGACAAAGAAAGTAAGTTTTGGTTTATGATTTTGTGAGATAACTGCTAATCAAGATAGAGAACATTTTTCAAAGGGTCTTAAAAATGTATCCTGAGTTTCATCTGTGTCTGTGCAATGCCATCTTCAGTTTATACTGTCATTTCCAAATGGAATTCAATAACATTATAAATTGGTATGTTACCTATATTTAATTTAATAACGGAGAATTATAATGAGGGCATTGAAGAGAAACTGCATTAAATTAACTTATTCATCATAAGGTTTAAAGCAGGACTTCAAAATGGTTTTTCTTGTAGTAATTAGGTAAGTAATTGTTAACAAAGCTGCATAGGCATAGGGAGTGTGCCAAACTAGGAGATCTAGAAATAGTAAGCAGTAAAAAGTTACTATTTACACGTACTGGTCCTGCTCATTACTACTCATAAAGTTCAATATTGACGAATCTTTTACAGTTTAAAGAAAAATTTGGATTTTTGTGTGAAATCACCATTGCAGTTAAGATAGAATGTGTTAGAATAGACTTTTGATGTCTTCAGTTTGTGACTCTTGGTCTAAAGAAAAGGTAGTAGTTTAGTCTCTATGTGCTACTGGCACTTCTGCTAAATTATATTCTGGCTTTCTGAGAAGATGAAATGAAATGAAAATGAAGAAAGTTGTCTCCCTGAATCCTTGGCTTCTTGGAATTATTTTAGATAGGATTATATATGTAAAATGATGACCATCACTACTATCCTGTGGCCCCTCTTCTGAGTTTTGTGTAATTTTACCTTAGTGATCTTTGCTAAGGCAAGTAAGACTAGTCGTATTTCTGGGTTTGTGGATGTGGTCACGTAGGGATTACTCTCAACTTCATGTAACAATCCTGACTCTAGTGGCTTAGCCACATAGGAGTTCACTTTTTGTCTGACAGTACAAAAAATCCAGAGTTGGATTATCTATGACTGGTTACAGTGGTTCCATGATGTCACTACTGTGACATCTGAGGCTCCTTGGCTTTTCGGTCCCTTCATCCTTAAATATGTCGTTTTCAACTTCATATTGCCTCATTGTTGAAAAATAACTGCTCCTTTTTCAGTCTGCCTCAGAAAAGCAACAGCTTCTAGAAATATCCAACATAAACTCTCTTACAATTTGAGTTATGTGTAGTTATCCCTAACTACAAAGGCAACTGGAAAATCAAAACTTCAGATTGGACCACTGACTAATATAATTCGATTTTATTAGGAAGGAGTAGAAATTAATGGACAACCAGCAATGTTTATCATTTAATGTTTTAAAATTAAGACTTTATAAAATTTGCCGCAATTTAGAATCTTGAGGTTATAATAAAGTATTCCAGAAATATATCCTTTTTAACTTTCAGGTAGTTGATTTGTGGTGATTTGTTATATTTCTCTAAGGAGCCACAGTATTGTGTATAAGAACATAGGTTTTAGAGTTTGAATTCTAGCTCTGTTTCTTTTAGTGAAACGTAGATCAGAGCAATTAACTTATCCTGAGTTTTCCTCATCTGTGAAATAATGTGGCACAGGTTTATTGTGAAGCTGAAAGCTGATTAAAAGTCCTCAGCAAAATTTTAAAACTAGAAATGTTACTTTGGTTGAAATAAAAACTTTAAAGAAATTAGGAATATGTGCTTATATAACTACTTTTAAAATTTTAGTGTGCCAGACATTTTTTTCCCCCATATTGCTTAGACATGAAATATTTGGTGATGTTTTGTAGAAACAGTTCGTGACTATGAGCATCAGTTCCACCTTAGGCTGGAGCAGGAGCGAACACAGTGGGCACAGTATCGAGAATCTGCAGAGAGGGAAATAGCTGATTTAAGGCGAAGGCTTTCTGAAGGTCAAGAGGAGGAAAATTTAGAAAATGAAATGAAAAAGGTATGAAGGAATATATTTGTCTGTAGAAATAATTGAACCCAAATGCAAGATGCTTTAACTAATAATTGTGATAACAGAAGTTGCACTTCTATGTTTTCTGTTAGAGGAATTGTTTGGACACAGGCATAAATGTCATACCAGATTATTTGATCTCCTCCCTTTCAACATCCCCAAATATGTATGGCAAACATGATCACTTTCTTCAAATTTTTGATCACCTTATAAGGGCTTGCCCGGACCACCTCATTTAACATTGTAACCTACTCACTTCCCTTCCTGACATGGATGCTGATCATTTTGATCCTATTTCAATTCTTCTTTTACCATTACACATTTCCTTATAATATCCATAATGTTCTCCTGCTTATTATGTTTGTTTGATGCCTTTTTCTCCATGCTGGAATGGAAGATTCAATAAAGGCAGGAATCTTACTTGAATATCCTAAATGCCTAGAGTAGTTATCTACCACGTAATATTCAAGAAAATTTGTTGAATGCGTATATTTGCTTGTTGATTATGTCTAAAACTTTCAAATAGATGTTAGTTTTCTTGCTGAATATAAGTTGGCACCTATGTCATGAATATATTGCATATTTTGCTTGAACATAGAGCAACTAAATATAAAGTGGAATATTTCATTATTGAGAGATAACAGAGTAGCCATATACTCCACACCCAACTTTCCCTTATTAACATCTTAAATAAGAACAGTACACAATAAAATAGTATTGGTGCACTTGTATATAATTCCATCCTTTGTGTTGAGAATTCATTAATGTTCCAGGATCCTATCCAGAATGTCTCATTACATTTAGTCAGGTTTTCTTAGGCTCCTTGTGATATGACAGTCACTCAGATTTTCCATTCGTTAATAACCTTTCTGTCACTTTACAAAAATCATCTTAAGAAGTTTAATTTATAATGAAATGTAACACTTGAAATTGTGAGGTCATCTCTGCATTAATAAATAACTCAGTCTGTGTTATATTCTTTGCTGCTGCCCTCCTTTTTTTGTCTCTGCTGGTTTTTATCATCCGGCCTCTGTAAGCATCCCAAATTAGCCTTGACTGAAGATATTTTAAGCTCACATATCTTTCCCAAACAGGACCTACTCAAGATAAAATAAATCATAAAATGACTTTGTAAGGACTGAAAAACAAAGCGAATACCTTTTTTCCTGAAAGATTTTTTTTGGGGGGGATCTCTACTCACCTTTGGACATTTTCCCTATTTTGAACAAATTCAGTGAATAAAATTAATTTTTATTTTCACTATAAAGAAAAAAATTTGACTTTAGAGTGTGTTCCTTGGTATGGGTGTATAATTATATAAACGAATGTCAGTATATAGGTACATAATTATATATGTATAGATAATAGCTTATGGGTGTTTCCTTTTATCCATGTTTTTGAGAATGAAGGATGGAAGACAATATGGTAATTTTAGGAGTCAGTGGGGTTGTTTCATGATATCAGAAGTAAAATAGTTTTTTAAGTGTTGTTTAACTAGATGGTAGCTTCTTAATAGTGTTTTAGGAAGTACATTTTTTCAATGTTGAAAAATAACCAGTCCTTTCAGTATTATGAGAAATTATGGTTTCATTAATTTAATAACCAGAATTCTAAACATTAATATATTTATTATATTTCCTTTTGTATACAAGATATTTTTTCAACACAGTTATTCAATTAATTTAAAAGTCAAATTTATCATAGTAAAATCCATTTTCCTTTTTCTGCCCCAATTCTGAGTATTTAGGCAAACTGATAATGACCTGACAAAGTTATGCAACATTAAAAAGCTAGACATGGTTCAGTAGTGTGATTCTAGTACAGTGCCTGTAGAATTATTTGTTACTCTAACGACAGAGTCAGTGTTTCTTAGCAAAGCAATAAAACAGTAAGTTATAACACTTACTTTTTTTTTTTTTTTTAAACCATAGGCCCAAGAGGATGCTGAAAAACTTCGGTCTGTTGTGATGCCCATGGAGAAGGAAATTGCAGCTTTGAAAGATAAACTGACAGAGGCTGAAGACAAGATTAAAGAGCTGGAGGCCTCAAAGGTTGTGAAACACTGATACATTTGCTTTAAACTCAAGATTATACCTTAATGTTATGACTGAAGCTAGAATCACTGAGGGAATAAAAAGTGTGTCTTAGGGGCCTCCCTGGTGGTACAACAGGCTAACGTGCAGCACTGCAAGAAAGCCTCAGCCACTTCAGTACAAGTTCAATCCCCAGTCCTGGAAGGTGACCCACATGGCGCGGCAGACCTCTCCT